AGCGGATAAGAGATGAGAGGTAATCGAGGGGGAGAGATAGAAGATTAGATGCTGGCGATAAGCCAACCTTGATAAATAAATGCGCAGCGGATTGATTGATGGAGGTGGAGGTGGAGGGATGATGATAAGAACGAAGCACGGAATGATAAGGAAATTTTTTGACGGGGCGCATTTGGGGGCGCTGCAGTGGGCAGGCGGCGGGCGACAAAAAGTGGGCTGTTGCGATAACAAGCCGGTCGGGCTTCCATTTTGGAGGGGCTTAGATAAGCAATTCCACCAAAACCTGGCGTCTTGGCCAATGGGAATCGTTGCCATTCTCAGCAAACCGGTGGTCATGGCTTTTCGTGACGTTGATCCATTGTGTCGCAAGACGCGATTGCGATACGCGATAAGGGGGGAGAGCCGAGCAGGACAGACAACAACACCACCAACAAAACAAGAAGAAGTAGACTTACCAGATTGCCTCCTGGACCTGGGTGACTGCTAGCAGCTGGAGAGGTGCCTGGAGGAATCATGGGAGGAGCAGCCATGGTAACGGGTCTACCATTGCAATGTCAGCAAAAGTTGGCGCATCGCGGTTATACATGTAAAAGTGAAGGGGGAAACCAGCAACAGAAACACCAATGCGCCTTGGCCCAATTGACTAGGAACTGACCTAGGCTGTGGTGATGTTGCTGCCGTCGGAGTATTGGCGTTGTTGTTGGCGGTGGCAATGGATGCGATACTGGGCAACATCTGCGACATGTTCTGAGGTGCTGGGGCTGAGGCCTGGGTCGACGTCGAGCTCGGTCGGGATATGGGTTCGGGTTCAAGTGTGGTCGGCAACGGCAAGGACGGTGATGCCGCCGCGGGCTGTTGTTGTTGTTGTTGTGGTTGTTGTTGTTGTTGTTGTGGTTGTTGTTGTTGCGTTGTGGGTTCCTCCATCATGACGGCTCGGACCGGTGGCAGCTCCAAATCGGTGGGCGGTGTATATGTTGATGTTGTTGGGTATTGCGGATGAATAAGGGGAAGACCCGGAGACCGAGTCGAAGCCAGTGAGCTTGACGGCGGTTGAAGGCGGCGTCGGTGCCAGTTGACCCACTCGTGGTGGATTCGAGAGAGACCGTGAGCCCGTGACCGGGATTGCCAACTTCGGGATCGAGACTGCGCAGGCGGAGCGACAGGCGGCGGACGTGTGGTCTTGGGTCACCGTCCAAGAAATGAAGTCCGTGCTTTCTAGACGTATCAAGACTTTTCATGTGATATCTTTGGTGTTGGCGAGTGCTTGGGACTACGGTGTAAGCCCTGTCATAATAAGATAGCGTGCGGATAAGATAACGTCGGCAAAAAAGTTGAAGGAGTAAATGCGCAAAGACTATGAGCTTATTGCAGTCGCGCAGAAGTTGATGGCAAAAGACTGGAGCAGAATTAGTCTCAATTGTCTGTCTTGCTATTTGAACCTTGATGTCGTCGTCGAACCCCAAGTCGCAAGTTGCAAGTGAATGTTATCTGATAAGGAGCTGCCCCTGCATTTGCCAACTGGCCGCTGATCCTGTCGCGCTTCTGCACCCGAAACTTGACCTGCAAGAAGCGCCGAGCCCCACTCTTGCCAGCTGCGGCAGGCTTGCGTTCCAAAAATTTCCATCCATGCAGCGCGATTCCATGTTGCCATCCATCCATCCCATTCACCAAGCCATCCATCAAATCCAACCACCACCAAACTGTATTCGCCTTGACATTGTCAACTGTCGCCTACACTCGAGATTGACCATTCCGGAACATCAACTATCCTAAAAGAGCCAAAAGAACACATTTACGCCCAAAATGCCGTCCATACACAACAAGGACAAGCCGTGGGATACCGACGACATCGACAAATGGAAGGTCGACCCTTTTACCAAGGATGAATCGTCCGGCCCCTTCCTCGAGGAGTCTTCGTTCATGACCCTTTTCCCCAAGTACCGCGAGCGTTACCTACGAGACTCGTGGCCCCTCATCACCAAGGCCCTCGACAAACAAGGCATCACCGCAGTTCTCGATTTGGTCGAGGGTTCCATGACAGTGAAGACGACAAGAAAGGTACGGTGATGATGCGCTTATTGCCTCTTGGTAGTCAATCTTTGCTAACTCATGCATATCTAGACATTCGACCCCGCAGCCATCCTCAACGCCCGCGATCTCATCAAGTTGCTGGCCCGTTCAGTACCAGCCCCCCAAGCGATCAAGATTCTCGAAGATGGCATGGCCTGCGACATCATCAAGATCCGCAGCATGGTACGGAACAAGGAGCGGTTCGTCAAGAGGCGCCAAAGAATTCTCGGACAAAACGGCACAACACTCAAGGCTCTCGAGCTTCTCACACAAACATACATCCTCGTACACGGCAATACAGTGTCGGTAATGGGTCCCTTCAAGGGTCTGAAGGAGGTCAGGAGGGTTGTTGAGGATACCATGAACAACGTTCACCCGATTTACATGATCAAGGAGTTGATGTAAGTTTTGCGCATCCACATCTGCAACGGCCAACCACATTTGCGGCGGTCAACGGTAACTAACAAGGAAAAAAAAAAACAGGATCAAGCGCGAACTCGCAAAGGACCCCGCCCTCGCCCACGAAGACTGGTCCCGCTACCTCCCTAACTTCAAGAAGCGCACGCTCTCCAAGCGCCGCGTCCCCCACGTCGTCAACGACAAGGCCAAGAAGAACTACACACCCTTCCCCCCGGCCCCCGAAAAGAGCAAGGTGGATCTCCAGATCGAGTCCGGCGAGTACTTCCTCGGAAAGGAGGCCAAGCAACGTGTGGCGGAGCAGGAGCGCGCCGAGAAGGCCAAGACGAAGAAGGAGGAGAAGAAGCGCGAGAGGGAGAAGGAGTATGTGCCGCCCGAGGAGGCGGGGGACAAGAAGGCGAAGAAGAGGAAGACGGAGAAGAGCAGCGATTGAGCTGGTGGGGGTGGTTGAAAGAAAGAGGAGGTGATGGGGGGAGAGATGAAGAAGATGATAAGAAAGAGAAAGGATTCTGGAATCCCATGATACCCATACTTCAGCAGACGATTGAGATTTCCCCTGGTCATTTGGTTGCTACTTCACATTTGTCAATATTTGTTGTTGTCGGAAAACACCTGCCAAGCAAAAGTCACGTCGTTATTCGATTTTCTCGGTCAAGAAAGATGTTGGTACTTGAATCTGTGGATATTTCGAAACACAAAGTCGAGCCTCCAACAAAACCCGGTTGCCACTTTACGATCGGCGATAAACCCGATGCGGAGCAGATCCGCAACCACAAACTGGCAGCTCCACCCCCGGCGGATCGAACAAGGGGGCCATCACACGCGGGCCGAGGCAGTTGCATCACTGGGTCCGGCAACGAATGCGGGGGAGAGTGGGGGCGGCCATCCCCTCGTCGGTGGCCGGACCGGGGAGGCTCAATGACAAGTGTGACAACACCCGCTTAGCCGCTTCCCCGGGTTCGATTAATAATGTCTTTGGTTAACGACTCGTTTCAATTCTTTCACCCTTTCACTTGTTGATTCTCGACATTCATTCATTCATTTTTTTCATTATTCATTCATTGAATTGGTCTCCCTAAAAGATGCCTCTCCAACTAACCGTCAAGAAAATCGACGGTAAACCCGGCCAGGTTTACTACCCGTAAGTTCATCTCACCTATTCTCCTTTTCCCCATTCCACCACAACTAACAACCAACCAGCCTCCAACTGAATACCATCCCCAAACCCGTCCCCGGCCCCGGCGAACTCCTCATCCGCCTCCACTCGTGCGCCCTCAACCACCGCGACCTCTTCATCCGCCAACACCTCTACCCCGCCATCTCCTTCGACCACGCCTTTCTTGCAGACGGCTACGGCGTCGTCGAATCCGCCGGTCCCAGCGTCTCCCAGGCCTCGGCCCAACTCATCGGAAAACCAGTCCTCATCACCCCCTCCCGCGGCTGGATTTCCTCCCCCGATGGGCCCGACGACCCGAACCAGCCTTGGACGGTCATCGGTTCCGCGCAGTCAACCCCAGCGGGAACAGCGCAGGAGTACATCGTTGTTCCTGAGGCCGAGGCCGTTCCTGCGCCGGAGCACTTGAACGCTGCCGAGGGCGCGGCCTTGCCCTTGGTTGGACTGACGGGGTGGCGAGCGCTGGTTACCAAGGCGCAGGCCAAACCTGGGCAAAACATTTTGGTTACCGGGATTGGCGGCGGGGTGGCGTTGCAGGTGTTGCAGTTCGCTGTGGCGATGGGGTGCAATGTGTACGTGACGTCTGGTAATGCCGAGAAAATTGAGAAGGCGAAAAAGATGGGTGCCAAGGGAGGAGTGATTTATAAGGACAAAGACTGGGATAAGCAGCTACTCAAACAGTTGCCCAAGGATAGACCTTTTTTGGACGCGGTGGTGGATGGTGCCGGTGGGGATGTCGTGGCTAGGAGTGTCAAGCTTTTGAAGGCGGGAGGGGTGATTAGTTGTTATGGGATGACGGTGAGCCCCAAGATGGATTGGTTGATGCAGGCGGTTCTCAAAAATGTGGAGTTGAAGGGGAGCACGATGGGCAGCAGGAAGGAGTTTGAGGAGATGGTGGGGTTTGTGAGGCAGAAGGGGATCAGACCTGTTGTGAGTAAGGTGGTAAAGGGGTTGGATAATTTGAAGGGGATTGATGAGTTGTTTGAGGAGATGAAGGAGGGGAGGCAGTTTGGGAAGTTGGTGGTGCTGATTGAGGGGAGCAAGGAAGAGGGGAAGGAGAGTAAGTTGTGAACACTCATGGCTGGGGAAATGATGGGAGGAGGGAGGTCTGGTGTTGCTGTGAGACCAGAGCTGATCATAGTTTTTAGTACATCAATAAATACCAAAAGAACAATCCCGTCTCCATCGAATCAACCTATGCGAACATGGAATGGGCAGAGCACAAAGAGAGAACTCCCGAACTACATACATCTCAACACCATAGCAAAAAGTTGATAGAAAACCAGGGGAAAAAAAAAAAGAGAATCCCACCTCACCACCGCAACCTCCCGTTTCAGTTTGGACGAGCTGGGAATCGAACCCAGGACCTTTCGCATGCGTCGTAAGAAACAAGTATGCTAAGCGAACGCTCTACCAACTGAGCCACACGCCCGTTGATTAATCTTTGTTTGTTGGAAATCGCCGCCTGGTGTAGGGCATTTGAACGGGCATCAAGAAAGAAACAGTTGGGGTGTGGTTGTGGGAGTGCTGGTGACGGGTTTTGAGGATAGGGTTGTGGCCAGGCAGTTGCAAGGGGGCCATGGTTGAAGAAGTGAAATACCTAAATGGCATGCATGTGCAGTGGTGGATCGTTAAATACCTTAGTTAATGGAAATTGCAGATTTGGTGCGTCTTGGGAGGTTGGTGGTGATTGCCCTGACAAATCAAAAATCAAAAATCCTGCAAGTAAGTAGGCAGGGACTACCATCTTTACGTCTTGGCCACAGATCCATATAGGATGGATAACACAGAGAGCCTTAAGCTCCATGCGTTAGAGAATGAAAATGAGTCGTGCTTGCAGAGTGTCCAATTCCAATTTGTGATAAACTACCCCTATTAATCAGAGCAGTAACAGCCGCCGCGGTGTCAGTGCATGTAATCTAGGTAACTGCCATGTCAAGTTGTTGGAGGCACGTGCACCTAGCCATGGCACAGACCACGGCAGGTAGGGCACGGCCTCTCTTCCGCTAGATTTAGCCCTCCAGACCTCTCCACACATTTCTTCCCTTTTAGCAACTCAATACAACCATCAACTGCTTCATTTCGTTGCCTTGTGTGTCGCACACAAGTCCCTTCCATCACCACATATAGTGCGGTTGGTGGTTGCCGTCTGCGCCTCTACTTACCTTAGGTAGGTAAGGTACTGTACTCTTGTTTGCTTCTCCTCCTGCTTCTCCTCCTGCTTTCCGACTATTTCTTTCCCAATTTTCCTTTCTTGAAGCTTCATATCTTCACGCACGATATGGGAGCTAGGTCTCCTAAAGAACATTGAAGCAGACCATACATCCTGCTCCATGCCAACGAACCAATTCTGTTGTTCAGCAAAAGGTGGTCGTGGAACACGTAGAAGTCGTGTCACAAACGAATGAAGGCATAAAAAGCGTTGGGTTGGGTACGAATATCGGACTCGGGTATATGGGCCTTGTGTATGTCGTCTCGCGAGCCCTGTGTTTCTTCACCGGAACCTTAAATTCCGGAGCCCTGTATGCCGTCTCCGGAGCCCTGCCTTTCTTCGGAGCCGTGTATGTGGTTGGAGCCCTGTTGTGTGTCGTCGAAGTCGTGTACTTTAGAGTTGGAGAACGCGATCGGTTGTACGATCCTCCGGTAGATGTATACTCCCGATCTGGAGGTTCCCTTCGCAGCACTTCCATTGTCTTCTTAACATGTTCTCGTGCGTCCTTGCACTTCTGCTCGATTCTTGCGAGGCGTTCTTCGATAGCATGGGGAATCCGTGATAGGGTGGCTCGGAACTTGCCGTGTTCCTTGTTTTTGTTTTTGTCCTCTTTGCGGTTGTCCCCGTGGCTGTCCTCGGTCTTGTGTTGTTTCTCGGCCCGCCTACGCCTTGCCCTTGGACGCGAAGACGATTCCCATGATGGAAACTGTGGGAATACGGGGTGTATGAACGAGCCGATCAGCTTTTGTTTGTGCTTGCTGCAGGTTGAGCATGTATCAGACTCGGAAATACCGCTGATAACTTTTGAGACTGAGGAGTAGATGTAATTTTTTGCGTCTGTGTTTTCGGTGGTATTTAGGGCCTCCGTGTTGGAGTGTGTGACTTTTGTGGGCTCTTGAGAGTCTGGCTCAATAGAGATAGACATAGCGGTAACACGGCGCTCAAGTGGAGGCCCGCCGTAATCTGGGGTGTCTTCTGTAGTAGGCCGGCGGCAAAAATCGTACGGGTCATTCTTGGGCGTGATCTAGCAGTCTCGTGTCAGTGGTTTTGTTCTAGTGTTTCCGGAAGCTGCCACTGATAAATTGAGGCTATAATTGTACCTTCTTCCGCTTGTTCTGTAGCTGCTCGTCTTTCCACCATGCCTCCTTGAACTTGGCGTTGTGTTCCATTCCGGAGCGCGCTGTTTTGGTAGGTAAACTGCAGGCCATGACGAATGATTTGGGTGTAGAGTAGGTGGGTAGTAATGATCGGTGTGTGTAGGAGTTGTTACACGATACTTGTTACCTGAAGGTAGTGAAGGCAGGTGTTTGGAGAAATTGCTCGTTGAGATTTGCTACCGAAAAGACCTGGAGATGGTGGAAAAATGGAAGACGAGGAAAAGACATTCGAATTGCAACTTTATACCGAGAAATCAGAAATCTAAGAGGGAATTGGTCCGTGGCATTAGATTCACACTTGCAGCAATAAAAGAAGGCATCATCAAGTTTTTTGGGAGGCAAACTGGAAAAAAGCCGAAAGGTACCTAAGGTACCTTATGCTGGTACGGGCATCGAAATAAGCATGCAGGATTCACATGTTTTATGCCCGCAGCATGACCGGCACTGCCCTCGCACGGGTCCATACGGCTTTAACCTCTCAGAGATGGTTTCGGAGACGAAAAATGAACTGACCAAGATTGTGGAGGAGTGGTCATACCTTTGACACACAGCCTCTGGGGAGGTCTCCTACCACCACGGAGTCGGAGGACACTTGTAGAATTCCGGCTTTGCATCATGACTTGGATAATGCAAGGTAAGTTGTCCTCTCAAAAACAAGACCGAGCGTCCATTGCCTCAGTTAACTGGCAAAATGACCGCCAGCGTCATATTGTTAAGTGCAACTTGGGCCATCCTGCATCGGGCAAAACTTACCTCTAAGCTGGTCTTGATGCAGGGAGAGACTCAATGGGTGGCAGACACGTCCACCACATTACCTCTACCCCCCAATGAACGCATCATCGCGTTAGCCGCGTCAATGCTAGCTTGACTAGGCGGGCAATGGCTGTCAACCCATTCGCTCTTCTCTTCCAACCAATGTTTCGGCTCCCTGGGGTAAAAGTCCACCATCCATTCGAATGCCGATGCGTCGCATTGATCATACTGTCTGACGCCCCTAGCTTCCAAAACCTCATCGCGCATGCTCATAAGCCAAGTATGAACAGCTGAGGTGACGCATCATTAGCAAAGATCCAGGACATGAGAGAGAGGTAATTGAACGACCAAACAAAAGGGTTGGGAGTTGTTCCTCATTGCAGGCATCCTTGCCCAAACGCTCGTATCTGGCAGATCATTGCGAAGCGGGCCATCAGATTTCCAGCCCAGTCCCTCTTTTCTTCTATCCCATGTTTCGGCCTCCGACCAGCACCGGTGAACACCACCATCCATTCGGTGAGCCTTCCACTTGAGAGCCAAACATACCTCTATGCCTGAGGACGTGCGACCACCCTGGCCTTGAAGATCTCACCGCGCAAGCTCATAAGCCAAGGTTGCCCGGTCCCTTCCCTAAATACAAAAAAAAAAATTTCCAAAACCAAAACAAAAAAAAAAAAAAAAAAAAAAAAAAAAAAAAAAAAAAAAAAAAAAAAAAAGAAAAGAAAAGAAGATAGAGAAAAAAAACTCACCCCAAACATAATCCCCAATCGTAACAAACCCCTCCCCACCCCTTGGCGTGACCTTCAACCTCCTTCCCGCCGTGCGCAGCGGCCTCTCCTCGCCGCAGCACTTGATCAGAAACTCCGTGTCGGAATCCTCCTCCCAGTTTTCAGGATCCTCCTCATTCCGAGGTTCCTTTGCCCACGGCCGGACGTCATCGTCCAGATCGCCGTAGGTCACAAACTCGCCCTTTTCCTCGCTGTGCCATTCGTGCCACTCCACCCAGTTGGATTCCCATGTGTCGAGGTCTATGCAGGATACGGAGATGGAAAACGCCGGTGGTTCGGTCATGGGGAGGAGGGCGATGGGGTGGTATGTGCCGGTGCCGGTGCTGGTGCTGGTGCTGGTGCTGGTGTTTTCGGGGTCGTTATTTTCGGGGTTCTGGTCGTCGGCTGCATCTGCCGGTTGGAAGAACGGTTCCAGGTGTCCTTTAGCACCGCGGCGGTTGGCCATAACGGAAATTGCGGAGGGAAAGGCGCCTTTGAACTCCCAAAACAGTCGATCGATTTCTCGAGAGAGGCGGGCACCGCCCGGCAAGCGTTCAAGCTCTTCGTACGAGCGGTAGGGAGGCTCTTCTGACTGGCCTGGTTGGGAAGTTGTGGAAGTTTCCATTGTTGTCCCTGTGTTGGATGTGTTGAGGTCTGGTTGGGAGGAGGTGGATTTGGAACCCGAGGGCCGGGAAGTTGTGAGCTGGGGGAAGATTGGAAATGGGAAACCAGGGAAAGGGAGCAGGTGCATGGGATATAAGTAGGTAGTAATAAGCTCAACAGGGGTGTCTCAAGTAGGCAGGAGCTTAGCGTAGCCCTGTCAGTATGATTTACCGCTAAGCTTTCTGTTGGAGAGGCCCGTGCACCTGGCCATGGCACAGACAAGGCAGGGCACAGCCTCCCTTTCAGATTTAGCCCTCCAGACCTCTCTATACATTCTTTCCTTTTATTACGCGAAGAGAGTCTTCACAAGTGATGCTACAAATAATAATGATGATGAAAGATAAAGAGTGCGACTAATTACTAGACAAAGTGATAATACGTAATAATAGGCGATAATATTATTAAAGGAAGCGTAAGGCAATATTAACGAAAGCCTCAACCTAGGACCTTGCATACGATTTCACAAAATATAAATAAAGTAAACGTTAAATTAATATAATATAAATTAATAATCTAATTAACTTTAACGGAAATTAATTGGGGAGCACTCTTATATAGTATAGACTACTCAAATAAACGTATACCAAAATAGAACGGATCATCTAGGCATTTGCCCAAAATTCCCCTAATATTTCCCCCTCTACGAAAAAAATAAATGCTTACTATTTATAAAACTATATTAAATATAACCTATTACGAACATCTATTAAATCATCGCCGTAACCGATTATTTTAATGCTACTATATACTATATTTAATACTAAACCTCCTAATAAAAAATTCTAATACCGAACAATCTAATATATAATACTAAATAATTATTCGAATAAATTCCCAATTTATTATTATCCTCGTTAACGTTCTCGGGATATTGAAATTA